CATAGCAGAAGTATTTCAATTTAAACATACATGTGGGTAATGGAGGGGAGGGATCAACAATAAGTGTTCTTTAGAATTGAGAATTCAACAACAGCAACAACACTACGTCTCACAACAACAACAACAACAATCACACCACCACCACCACAACCGCCAATAACAACAACAACAAAGCAACATCAAGACCAACAAGCACAACAACGATCATTTCAAGATTGTTTGCACTTAATTGTTCGCGTGCCATTCAACACGTATATCCCAAACCCTCGATGCCCGCCGTCTTCGTCTTCGATCGTACCCACTTCGGGGCATATCATTCTGTAACCTGCAAAGTGTATTTCGTGCAGCCCCTAAGGCAGGGGAAGAGAGGATGGATGCAAGGGGCAGGCGGGTTGCGCGGACGTCTCAAGCGATAGCGCGATGCCCAAATGCATCGTGGGGAAATCCACAGCGAGAGTGTGATTCCTGAGTGTCGAGGGCGCGGCGTCTGAATACATTGCGGGGAAGTCCCACGCGAGAGTGCGATTACTGTAGACATTGCGAGGAAGTCCCGCGCGAGAGCGCGTTTTGGGAATGACTTGCGAAGGAATATCAGGCGGGAGCCGTTGTTGTATTAATTCGGGGGACAGGGGCATAGCTTGGTGAAGCTTTATATTCCCTTGTAAAAGCCAGGGTGCGAGCCTCTAGAACGGAATATTCAATACCAGCAGCAATACCAATATCACCTGCAATAACAACAAAAACAAACACAACACCAACACCAATCATTTTCAGACTGTTCGCTCTTACTGGCACGCGTGTCTCATATTCTGTATACCCCAACCCTCGATACCCGCCCACTTCGTCTTCGATTGCACCCCCTTTCGGGGGGAATCTCTTCCTTGTCGTCCACTGACTGAAGTGGGAGGTACTTTCGAGCGAGAGCGCCGTTCTGGAAGTCGGGGGCCTTTCTGGCCAGGGGCTCTCGGAATACTCATGGCAAACATATTAAATGAGAACCCTTGTCGCCGTGTCTGGGCCTCCACCAACTTGCCTGAATTACGAGAGAGTCTCGAGCGAGAGTGCCGTTCCTGAGTGCGGGGGCCTTCCTGGCCAGGGGCTCTCGGAGTGAATCGTGAGGAGGTATCGAGCAGGAGCCCTTGTCGTCGTGGCTGTGCCTCCGCCAACTTGATTGAATTGCGAGGAAGTCTCGAGCGAGAGCGCCGTTCCTGAGTTCGGGGGCCTCTCTGGCCAGGGTGTCTCGGAGTAGATTGTGAGGAAGTGTCGAGCGGGAGCCGTTGTTGTCGTAGCTGGGCCTCCAACGGCCTACATTTAAGCTCAAGCCAACGCTCGCGCGGGAGCCTCGTTTACAGAGAACATGTAGCCCGCGTTGAGGCGAGAGCGCGCGGAACCGTTTCAGGAGATCAACAATAATTCTTCTCTAGAACGGCAGGAGGGGGGCTAGGAACAGAAATCACGTGGCAGAGCCAGGCGGGCAGATCGGGCGGGCAGACTTAAATGGCGGGCGGGGAAGGCGAGTCTAGACGGCCAGGTCGAGCAGGCGGGTCGCTAAAGCGTGTGTCCTCAATGAGTCGCGAGGAACTCTCGAGCGATAGCGAGCGCGATTCCCAAATCAATCTTGAAGAAATCCACAGCGAGAGCGTGATTCCTGAGTGTCGAGGGCGTGGCGTCTGACTAAACTGCAAGGACGTCCCACGCGAAAACGTGAGTCCTGCAAGAAAATGTTGAGGAAGTCCTTCGCGAGAGCGCGATTTGGGAATACATTGTGGGGAGGTATCAGGCGGGAGCCGCTGTTGTTTTAAACCGGGGGCCAGGGGCACACTTTGAGCAGGAACATTTTCCGCCCCGGGAGGGGCATTTCAATTGAAAGGCGCGCGCGTATGTTTCGCGAATGCGTGAGTCCTGCGTAATTCACCAAGAAGTCTCGGACGAGAGCGCGATTCTTAAGTAAATGTTGAGGAAATCCCAGGCGAGAGCGCGATTCCTGATTGGCGAGGGCGTGGCGCCTGAATCAATTGCGAGGAATCCACAGGCGAGAGCGCCATTCTTGGATAAATTGCAAAGAAGTCCCTAGCGAGAGCGCGATTCCACAGTAGATTGCGAGGAAGTATCAGGCGGGAACCGCTGTTGTTGTAAACCTGGGGCCAGGGGCGCAGTTTGAGGAGGAAGGTTTTCCCTGATAACTGGGTGCGAACCCAGGGAGGGTAATTTCATTTCAAAAACACATATGTTACCGGAGGCGGGGATCAACAATAATTATTCTTCAGTCGTGAAAATACAGCATCAGCAACAACAGCAACAATTTTTAGTTTAATACTGTTTGCTTTTACTTGTTCGCGTGCCATTCGACACGTGTATCCCAAACCTTCGATGCCCGCCGTTTTCGTCTTCGATCGTACCCCCTTCGGGGCATATCCTTGTTACCTGCAAGGTGTAGTTCGTGCAGCCCTTCAGGCAGGGGAAGAGGGGACGGATGGAAGGAAGAGAGAGGGGGGAGGGATGATAATGGAACGCGAGAGAGAGAGAGAGAGAGAGAGAGAAAAAGAGTAGCAGGACAGGGGCTAGGAGCAGAGAACACGTGGCAAAATCCTAACGGGCGGGTCGGAAAGGCGGGCCCAGGCGGCCAGGTCAAGCAGGCGGGTTGCTGAAGCGTGGGTCCTGCATGGATCGCGAGGAACTCTCGAGCGATAGCGCGATTCCCAAATACATCGCGATGATATCCATAGCGAGAGCGTGATTCCTGAGTGTCGAGGGCGCGGCGTTTGAACAAATTCCGAGGAAGTCCCACGCGAGAGCGCGGTCCCTGCACACATTGTGAGGAAATCTCGCGCGAGAGCGCGAGTTGGACATACGTTGTGAGGGAATATTCGGCGGGAGTAGCTGTTGTTGTAAACCGGGGGCCAGGGGCATAGTTTGGTGACACATCATCTTCCCTTGAAGCAAACAGTGTGTGAACCTCCGCAGAAGCATTTCAGTTGAAACATGCAATGGCTACCATGGGTGGGGGATCAACAGCCCTTATCTTTCAGAAGTGAAATTTCAACAACAACAACAACAGCAGCAGCAGCATCAGCATCTGCACCGCGGAAGCCGACGTCAGCCACGCACTGAGGGAAAGTGAACGACCGTTCGGCCCCCTCATTCTGGTACATAGATATTGAGGTTGTAGACTGATGTTGATGCTGGCATGAAAGTGAAGCCGACAGATCGCTAGATCGATGCATAAGGATATGGATAGTGGGGCCGTTACATCGGGAAATCGGTAGATCTATATTGACATCGTCTCATAGATCGCGATTCCGATCCGACGCCGATCGCAAAACGCAAGCCGCACCCATTTCCCAATCCACCTTATCACCCGAATTGTGGTCCGAGAGGTATGGTGTATCTGTATATATGTATTGCTTTGTTATGCCATGCGATGCTATGCCATGACATGCTGCAGTTGAACAAGTGCGTTTCGAGTTTTTGTTTCAATGCAAGTGGGACGTCTACGGGAATGTTCTTTGGCACCTTGCTGAGGTGTATGATGGACTACGATGTGCTATGCTATGCGGCGTGAGGCGAAGCGATTAAGACATCATTCGATTGGTTCTCTATGTCGAGTTCAGAGGGTGCTGCGAAAGTAGCAAGTCATGAAAGCAATCCATGCGCAGATCAATTTGGAGGTAATAGCGATGGGGGCTTGGCGGGTAAATGTGGCCCCGTCCTCTCTCTTTCTTATTCCCCCTCTTCCCCCTCTTCTTGAGACGTTTCCTATCAAGGCCTTTCTGGCCTGAGGCAAGACCAGGCCTTCTCTCCATTGTATGACACACTTTCTTTACCATACGTGAACCGATGCCAGTGCCATCGTCGTTGCGCGTTCTTCTCCCGGCAGCGGCGCTGCAGCTGTGTTCCGCCCTCTCAGGGGTCTTGCGAAGCAGGGGGGGTCTGCTCCAGGACACCCGCCTCGGCCCAGCAGCCTCCGCCCAGCCTGTCGTCGACTCGGAGGACCATTGCGAGGACGCGGCGGAGGGAAGCAACTGCTTTAACGGGATCATGTGGCTCAAGCAGACTGGTTTCAGCAGGCACCCCGACTGGTACCCAGGGTACAGCTCCGAGTCCCTCTTCCAGGACGTGCAGGCCATGCTCAGCGCAAAGGGCACGGGGCAGTGCCCGAAGCCTTGCAAGGCGACGTCTGCTGAGCGGAGGGAGTGGGCCGAGATGGGCGTCGTGCCAAATGCGGAGCCGATCGGGTACAGATGTCAGGACGCGGTGGAGGGCGACCGTTGCTTCCGCGCTGTCAGGTGGATGATGACAAAGGGTATCGCGTTGCGCCCCGAGTGGTACCCTACCCTCAATGCCAGCTCCACGAGTATTGAGGTGCAGGGGGAGCTCAACCGCCAGGGCAAGGCCGACTGCCCCAGGCCTTGCACGGGCCAGCCTGTCGCCGAGAAGAAGCCGAAGAAGAACGCTACCAGCGTTGCGTACAAGCGCGTGCGTGACATGACCGCCAGCGAGGTCGACAGGTACATCAGGGGCGAGTGGGACGGCGCGGTGAACACTTCGACGGAGGAAGCGGAGGAGGCGCAGGCGGCAGAGGAGGTCAAGAAGGAGGAGGAGGAGGAGAAGGAGGAGGAAGAGGCGATGGAGGCGGAGATGGAGGATACTTTGAGATCCGAGACGCCTGCGTCGGCACAGACGGACGACCTCTTGGGATCTGAGACGCCTGCGACGGCGCAGCAGGCGGAGGAGGCGACGGGCGCGACGGCGGAGACGGCGGCGGCGGCGGCGGACACCTCGGCGCGGGAGCAGGCGGCGGCGAGTGCGTCGAAGCAGGCGCCAGCGGCGGCGGCGGCGGCGGCGGACACCTCGGCGGAGGGGCAGGCTCCGGCGAACCCGTCGGAGGAGGAGCAGGCGGCGGCGGACGTCTCGGCGCGGGAGCAGGCGGCGGCGGAGGAGGCGCCAGCGGCGGCGGCGGACACCTCGGCGGAGGGGCAGGCTCCGGCGAACGCGTCGGAGGAGGAGCAGGCGGCGGCGGCGGCGGACACCTCGGCGCGGGAGCAGGCGGCGGCGAGCGCGTCGGAGGAGGCGCCAGCGGTGGCGGCGGACACCCTTGCGGAGGGGCAGGCTCCAGCAGACGCGTCGGTGGAGGAGCAGGCGGCGGCGGCGGCGGCGGCGGACACCTCAGCGCGGGAGCAGGCGGCGGCGAGCGCGTCGGAGGAGGCGCCAGCGGCGGCGGCGGACACCTCGGCGGAGGAGCAGGCGACAGTGAACGCGTCGGAGGAGCTTGCCTTTCTTCTGCCCCCTGGCGATAGAGGCGTTACCGAGGGAGGAATGGGGGGGCTGGAAGCGTCACGTTGTGCCCGCGCTGGGATTGTCCAAGCGCGGCTGATTGGGTGTCGTGATGGGCCAGGGGGGAGGGAGGGACTCAGAGAGGAGGAGGGAGGGAAGAGAGGAGGAGGAGGGGGGGAGGAGGGAGGAGGGAGGGAGGGGGAGGAGGAGGAGGGAGGAGGAGGCGGAGGAGGAGGGAGGAGGGAGGAGGGAGGAGGGAGGAGGAGGAGGAGGGAGGGAGGAGGAGGAGGGAGGAGGGGGAGGGAGGAGGGAGGAGGGAGGAGGGAGGAGGGAGGAGGGAGGAGGAGGAGGAGGGAGGAGGGAGGAGGGAGGGAGGAGGAGGAGGAGGAGGAGGGAGGGAGGAGGAGGAGGGAGGAGGGAGGAGAGGAGGGAGGGGGGAGGAGGGAGGAGGGAGGAGGGAGGAGGGAGGAGGGAGGAGGAGGGGGGGGGGAGGAGGAGGAGGAGGAGGAGGAGGGGAGGAGGAGGAGGAGGAGGAGGAGGAGGAGGAGGAGGAGGAGGGAGGAGGAGGAGGAGGAGGAGGAGGAGGAGGAGGAGGAGGAGGAGGAGGAGGAGGAGGAGGAGGAGGAGGGGGGGGGGGGGGGGAGGTGGTGAAGGAGGGAGGGAGCCCCCTTGCTCTCCTCTCAGAGAACCCACAGGGATTCCGGGGGGATCCGCTCGGGACCCAGAAGACCCTCAGGGTCCCAGTTCGGATCCCCAGCTGGCCCAGCCTCAGATCCCTGGCCTAGCGGGCCTCGGGGCAGATCCCCGTGTGGATCCGCACACGAAAGACGCGGATCCCCGTTGGAGACCCCCCCCTCCCCTTCCCCAGTATCAGACGTTGCAAGATAACAGCAGCATTGCGACAAAACACGACCTGCGCCTCAGATCCCACCTTGCCGCTGCATTCCTCGAGCTGGATCGATCTGTGATGATCCCCATGTGATGATCCCCATGGCCTGGAGTCGTGCGAGAACGCCGCTCAGATCTCCCTCCCAGAACTCCAACGTTGTTGGTTTGTTTGCTTGATGTGTTGTTTGCTTGTTTGTTTATGTTTTGTTGATTGGTTAATTTATTTGTTTGGTTGGTTGGTTGGTTGGTGTGTTTGTTTGATGTTGTTTGTTTGTTTACTGCTTGTTTACTTTTTGTTTGTTTGTTTGCTTGGTTGGTTGCTTGGTTGGTTGCTTGGTTGGTTGTTTGTTGGTTTGTTTGTTTGTTGGCTTGCTTGTGTGCTTGTGTGCTTGTGTGCTTGTTTGCTGGTTTGTCTGCCTGCTTGCTTGCTTGCTTGCTTGCTTGCTTGCTTGCTTGCTTGCTTGCTTGCTTGCTTGCTCTCTTGCTGTGTGTGCGTGCTGTTTGTTTCGCAGCCTGGGCCCTCGGAGGTCCGGACCCCCTCCCCCCAGGGCCAGCTCTTCAGCTCCGCGCCTCTCTGCCGGCGCTCCCGGGGCCCTGGAGGGGGTGCCCCAGAGGCCGAAACAGCTGCCAAGACCACCTTCGCCGCGAGTCCTTCACGGCGCGGCGGGGGGGGGGACCCCCCGCCCCCTCCAGAGGGGGGGGCCTCTCGGGGCCCCTCGGGGGCCTCCTTGCCCGGCCTCTCTTGGCCCGCCCCGGCGCCTGCCGAGGCCGTCTCAGGGGGGCCTCTCTCTGGGCCGCCCTGGTGCCTCCTCTCGGGAGGCCCTCGGGCGACCCTGGAGCCCCCGAGAGGCCCCCGAGAGGCCCCCGAGGGGCCGGCCAACGAGGCCCCCGAGAGGCCGGTCAACGAGGCCCCCGAGGGGCCCCGAGGGGCCCCCTCCAGCGAGGGGAGGCTCTCGGGCGGCCCCGGGGCCTTCTTGGGCCGACCTTCCGGGGGGGGGGGGCCCCCTTTGGGCCCCTGGGGGCCTTGTGCCCGAGGAGCCCGCGCTCGGCGCGGCCGAGCGGGCCGCCGCGGCCGAGCGGGCCGCCGAGGCGCTGGGCATCCCCGAGCTCGCGCGCCTGGCCGCGGAGCTGGGCTGCGCGCAGGACGGCGCGGGAAGCAGCACATGGGGGCCGTGGCCAAAGATTCGAGCAGGGTTACGTCGGGCCCGCCCCTCTACAGGAGGAATGTTCAAAAAGAGTCCAGAAATAGTCGGGGGACTCTTTCGTGCGCATTTTTTTGTCCATTTTGGAGTATGCTTGTCCCCTGTAGGGGGCCGTGGCCAAATATTCGAGCAGGGGTGCCAAAGATGCGAGTGCAGTGGGGGCGCACAGCAAGACACCGAAAGTGCTGTTCGTCGGAGCGCCCTTGGGCTTCTTCGCTCCGCGTGCGGCGCGCGGGCTTCCCGTGGCCGTTGGAGGAGCTGGTGTGCTCGGGGTGCTCTGGGATCCCCCCCCCACCTGCATCTCGCGCCTGCGGATTTCAGGGCTGGGTTTCTTGCCGCCGCGCCCGCGCTGTAGGGGATCGACGAGATCGGGGACCAGGGCCAAGATCGGCATCGACAAGATCCTGGGACATCTTTCGAAGAGGGGGTCGATTGCATACTTGGTTTACCCTAGCTGGATTTTCTCGTCGAATCCATGAGGCATGCGAAGCAGGTTCGTAGATCTACAGGGTATTCTACGCATTTCTCGCAGAATCGACGGAACATCAAATTTGGCGTGAATCAATATTGTAGTCGATCTCCTACTCGAAATACAAGGGGCATGACCAAGATTTCGCAGGATCTTGTCGATGCCCATCTTGGCCATGGTCTATATCGGCCGTCGCCGATTCGCGGGGATGCTCCACGGCTGGGCTGCACGCAGGACAGCGCACTTCTGGGTTCACATCCGCCGCTGGAAAACCCGATGCTCCTGAACTTCGGGAGGCGGGCGGATGTGGATACACTTGCGCCCCAGGGGGGGCCCAAGCATATCCACAGCCGCCGTCCGCTGGGGTCTCAGGACGTCGGTTCCCAGGCGGCGGATGTGCATACGATTGGCGTTGGCAAGGTCGCGTGCGGCGCGGCGCCGCTCACTACACGCTATCCCCAACTTGGGGACAGCGTGCGCCGAAGCAGCCCTGGCACGGGGACGTCGCCTCGCAGGGATGGCGCGCCCTCCGGAGATCGATGTCGCGCGCGACCTTCCCGTGGCTCAGTGGGGACGACTGGCTCGAGGTGCGAGACCCTGGGGCATCTTCGTCGGCCCTCCGCGGCCTCCCAGCCCCGGGGGGCCCTCCGGCGGCGGCGCCTCGCCGAGCGCCCGACCCGCCCCGACCGGCCCGACCGGCCCCTCGGGGGGTGCCCCCCCGCTCGTCCCGAAGGGCCGCCGGAGTCCCGAGCCAGGGCCCGCAAGCACACCGGGGGGCAGGCGCAGGGGTCCCCGCGGGGATGGGCAGTCCCCCCTTTGAGGAGAACGAAGTTGAGGCCCGAGGCGGAAGCGTCGGCCGCGACGTCACCGATCTCCTCGAGGAATAAAGGAGGGGCCACCTACCAGGCCACCCCAACCTAACGCGAAGGGTACGGGTTCCACATGTGGTTTTTTCCCATGTTCCCGACGCCGCCCCCACTGTGAGCGGAGCGCAAATTTCGGGGATGGGCAGTCCCCCCTCCAGGAGAACGTGGTCTGGTGAAAACGACCTCGGGCCCAAACCTGGCGGGCGCAAGCCTGGAGAATGACGGCCGCGGCGCCCTCTCGAGAGCCGAAAGCGGACGATTCACTAATCGACGCGTCACTGTTGGGGGTTCTTGCGGGCAGTATTTATATCCATATCCAGAGCGTCTTGAATTTTTTGGGAAGAGGTGCCGCAACGCCGAGGCGCACTGGATATGGATAAAATCAAGCCTCTTGGGGCCAGATTTTTGTCCATACCCAGTGCGTCTACGGTTTCTGGGGAGGAGAGCCCGAGACTCCAAGACGCGCTGGATGTGGATATGACTGTTGCCCGCAGTTCTGTCCACCCCCGCAGGGGGGAGTCCGTCGACCCCCAACCGCCCCTTCCTCGCCGGTGGGGGCCCGAGAGCCCGCCCGGCCCAAGAGCGTGCGGTGTCGCGACCGGGGGCGGTGCATCGCCGATGTCAGGTCTCTGCTGCAGCCCCAGGCCGGTCTCAAACGACGCGAAGATCGGGACAACATCGGATGGGGATAACTCGAAATCTCTGAGAATCGGCGGGTTTGGAGGATGTACTGGGCGCCGCGGCCGCTCCAGAGCGTTCCGGAACGCTCTGAGAGCGCTCTGGAACGCTCTGGAGCGATTTGTCCCGATCCTAGCCCTGTTTTATGGTCCCCCCTCGCAGTTCCCCTCGAGGCCGAGATCCTGCGCGCGGCGGACGTCGACGTCGCCGCGGTGCTGAAGCTGCCGGAGGAGGTGCGCCAGAAGGCGTCGTGGGCGAAGCAGCTATCCGCACCTGGAGCCTCGCGGGCCGGGCCCCTGGGCGCTTTTTGGTGGAGCCCTGCGCGGAGCGAATCCGTGCGACCGCGTACCCGCGGGATCGCGCCCGGGAATCTAGGCCGCGGGGGCGCGGATACGGAGATGTTTTGGCGGGGCTAGGGCGAGGACGAATCCGTTCCAGAGCGTTCCAGAGCGCTCCTCTCCAGAGCATTCTGGGACGCTGTGTGAACAGCCCGCGGCGCGCGAGGCATCCTCCAGAGCTGCCGGCTCTCAGAGATTCCCGCTTTATCCTCGCGTCCTGGCGTCGTCTGCCGTGTTCGCCGCCCGTGGAGGCGGTCATGTCCAGTGTCGCCCATGCCGATCTCGAGCGCCTGCGCCGCCACGCGCTGCCGATGGTGGACATGGAGGGCGTGCTGGTGGAGGGCCTCGAGCCGGCCAACGAGACTGTCCCGGACCGCGCGCCCCAGGATCGGGACGATCGAGATGGGTACGGAAAGAGTAGGCACGATGCCCAACAGCAGTTCCTGTTCATTCTGAGCAGGACCCGCTGTCCGCGCCGCCGCGGACGTGGTTCACTGACGACAAAAAGCCGCCTGCCCAACAGCGGCTGCTATCGGTTTTGGACAACATATGTTGTTGGACATTGTACCCATTTTTCCGTACCCATCTCGGGCGTCCAAACAGGAGATCGAGGAGCAAAAGATGTCATGCACACATGCAATTTCGGGGTCCGCGTGGATTTTTTGTCGGATCGGCGCCAGAACACCGTGGCGGCGCTTCCGGCGCCCCATCCCTGGCGCCGATTCAAAAAATCAGCGCGGACCTCCGACAGAATTCACACCACCCACCAAACCACTCCAGCCGAACCCGAGGGCCCCAATTTTCGGGGGTGGACAGACCTCCTACCCTGACACGCCGATTAGTGAATTGTCCGTCTTCGGTTCTCGAGAGGGCGCCGCGGCCGTCATTTTCCAGTGGGGGCGGCGGCGGGAACACTGGAAAAAAGCCACATGTGGAAGCCGTACCCTTCGCGTCAGGTTGGGGTGGCCTGGCAGGTGGCCCCTCCTTTTTATTCCTCGAGGAGGTCGGCGACGTCGCGGCCGACGCTTCCGCCTCGGGCCTCCACTTCACCGAGGCGGAGGCGAAGGACCTCCCGGGCCCCGGCGCGCCCGAGGCCGCGCCGCCGGCGGAGGAGGCGACGAGCGCGACGGAGGAGAGGCCCACACACACCTCTCGGGTGGGGCGCTGCAGAGGGGGGCCCCGCCCTCGAGCACCGAGGGGCTCGTCATCTCTTCTTCGGCGGAAGGCGGCGGACACAGAACGGCGGAGGGCGGCAGAAGCAGAACGGCGGCGGCTCGGCCGGCGGGAGCCGCCTTCGAGAACCGAGGGCCCCGCCTTCGAGAACCGAGGGGTTGGCCATCTCTTCTTCGGCGGAAGGCGGCGGACGCAGAACGGCGGAGGGCGGCGGAAGCAGAACGGCGGCGGCTCGGCCGGCGGGAGCCGGCCCGAGGGCTGGCGGAAGCCGGCGGAAGCAGGAGTCGAGCCCCTAAGAGGTGACAGCATTTTTGGGTTCAGGGTTTCCGGAACCCGCCAGGTGGAGACGGAGGCCGAGATGGAGGGTGGCACCCAGGAGAACGTGGCCAGCGGGGCTGTCGCGGACAGCGAGTCCCAGGAGGTCGCCAATGCCACTGTTCAGGACACCGGGTCCAGGGAGGTGGCCGAAGTCACTGCCTCGGACAGCGCGACGGCGCCGCTGGCGGCGGAGGAGACGAACACGACAGTAGAGATGGCGACACCCGCCACTGCAGTTGGGACGGAGCCTCAGATGGGGGCTGGCACCAAGGCAGATGTGGCCAACGGGATTGTCGCGGACAACGCGTCACAGGAGGTCCTCAACCCGACTGCTCGGAGCACCATGTGGGACACTATGTGGCAGGAGGCGTCCGACTTCACTCCCTCGGACGGCGCGGCTGCGCAGCCGGCGGAGGAGGCGACGAACGCGACAGTTGAGGTGGCGACGCCCACCACTCCTGGTGCGACGGAGGCTGAGATGGAGGCCGAGATAGAGGCCAGCACTACAGTGGCCAAGAGGTCTGTCGCAGATGGCGTGTCCCGTGAGGCCGTCAATCCCGCTGCTCGGGACACCATGTGGGACGTCATGTGGCAGGAGGCGTCCGACTTCGCTCCCTCGGACGGCGCGGCTGCGCAGCCTGCGGAGGAGGCGACGAACGCAACACTTGAGATTGCGTCGCCCACCACCCCTGTTGAGACGGAGGCCGAAGTGGAGGCCGACATGGAGGCGGAGATGGAGGCCGGCACCACCGCCTCGGGCCTCAACTTCACCGAGGCGGAGGCGAAGGATCTCCTTGGCTCTGGAGCGCCCGCAGCCGCGCCGCCGGCGGGGAAGGCGACGAACGCGACGGTCGAGATGGCGACGCCCACCGCTCAGGCCGAGACGGAGGCCGAGATGGAGGCCAAGGACGTTGCCAGGAAGCTGGAGGAGCTGGAAGCGCAGAGTCAGGCCAGGGCCATGGCCAAGAAGAAGAAGCTGGAGGAGATCACCGCGAAGATGGAGGCCAACGACCTGGAGATAGAGTCCCCCGGTGACGCGGGGAGTGCAAGCGGAGACCATAAGAAGAAGTGGCTCAGATGAGGCAGAGGTGACGAATGACCTGGCCGATGCGAAGGCCAAGCCTCAGGGCGTGACCACTGCAAACGGCGAGACGATAGAAAGAGTCTACGTCCACTGCCATGCCTGCACGTCGCATGACGGTGCAGTAGGCTGCGCGCGAGGCGCGTCGGGGCGCGGCGCTGGCCAATGGACTGCTGCCGCTGGGCTCCAGCGGCCATGGCAGCGCCCTCTCGG